ATGTTGTCGGTCGCGCAGGCGTGCAGTTCAGATTCCGATAGAGATAGATAGAATGAAATGAACGCGGGGCGGTACATAAAAGCGTATAATTAATTCGTGGTTGCAATTAACGCCTGTTATCGACGTTACATCGAAGGTGTGCGCTTCTGTTGCAGCGGTACAGAATGAACGACAACCCAGAAACACTGCCACTATTAGGCCAGAGGCTCTCGTCGAGATGGACCAGGAACGCGCACTTCGAGAGGCCGCGGTCGCCGTCGGTGTTTTTGGGTAAGTTCCTTTTCGTTCGTTTTTCTAATTATCTTTATATACAGTTCCTGAATTCTAAAATATCTCACTGGAATTCTCACAATTTTTATAGTACAGGGTGTTTACTTATGACTATTAGTATTACCTGTGGGCACAAATGAAAGGAGTGATTCTGAAAATGAAAAATAATGAAATTGCATTCATTGCTCCAGTCATTAGTTATAGTAATTAAATATCAGCTATTATACCTAAGCAATTCACCCTGTATCGCACGGACTAACGTAAAGGATGTAGAAATAAGAACGTCGTACCGCTTACCTCAAGGACTACAACAATAATATTTTACCTCCCTTCACAAAAACCACCCTCTTTACTTGGCGAGATTCGACATAATGGACGAAGCTCAGAATCTTATTCTTCAATTTCGTCTTAGTTCGAATCATATAATCAACCCTTTCGTTTGTACCAACTTATAGTTAAATACCCTGTATTAATCAATATAATTCATAATTCTTGAAGGAATTTTAAGTAAAGAATAAAATTCATTAATGAAACCATGTTCAATGTTATACTGACTACACATACACGAGCATCGTCTATATTCTCGCGCAATGGGTTCCGGTTGCACATTATTTTGGTGATGCAAAATCTCGTTGAGTAGTGAGGCAGATTGAAAGAGTCACTCAGGAGGGGAATTAAAGGTAACGACAAGGGTTCGCGATCGATAATCACCGATTCCATCGCATCGGAAGCAACAACGACAAGAGCTACAGAGTCGACGACGTTGTTGGCACGTTTGATCTTCTGCTGGACAGCAGCATACTTTTCGCCGTCGTGAGCAAGCGCGCTCGCGACACGCCACGCCGAGCGTGATCTATCATGAAAAATTACCTTTGACTAGCAGCCCGTAGTTGACCGTTTTTCAGGTAACCGGGTACTCAGGTTGGAACTAATGGAAAATCCATAGAGCGCCAAGGGGTGAACGTTAAAAGCGACAGCGTGCGGTCCGACGATGTACGGAGTTGATACTAAAGTCTTCTGGGAATTGAAATTACGTCTTCCTTCCTCTGCTTGCGTATTGGACACGATTTACTCTGTTTTATTGTTGTATCATAATCGTAACTAAAAATGTTCATTTTCTATTGGACAAGTTTTGTCTTCTTTTCCGTCTCATTCATTCATTCGTACTTCAAACATTCTTTCTTTCGTCAGATCATTTATTTGGTCACTAAAGAACAAAATAGACTTATTTACGTGCATCAATTTATTCCTTCACAAAATTTATAAACGTGCTTGTATTAGTACAAAGAAGCTTCCTTTATCGTTCGGTTAAAGAAAAAGTTTTTAATATGTATGAAAAATATATATGTGTAGTCAATGTTTTCGAAAAAATTGGTTTGAAAACATAATGCGTAAAAAGATAGTGTCGATTGAACTGAGTGTTATTTATGAGAAAACATAAATAATTTATACATTTAATTTTGAATTACTATTACTGTCTATATCGATTTTAATGTACATGAAATGATGCAGACAGCATTTGACACAGCTCATAATTATGTAATTTCAGTATTTCATCAGAGTCGAAGAATATTCAAAGTGCCAGTGAATTACTAGTGTTAGTCTAAGCGCCCATGTAAGCGGCAATCGTCGCTGACTGATTTTCATTCATCGAAACCGAAATTATTTAGCATCCTATTTACGTAGACAATTGATAAGTCCGAATAGTAGCTTGTCTCATGCAGTAAGACATTTCATCGTGCTGCTTGTTGCTAAATCCGGATCGGGTATAGAAGTTATCTAAGCTTAATCGGGCTTTATTTGCATAACCTTCGACGATTGTGTTTGAAGCTACGACGACCCATATACCGGAGAAAACTTCATGCAAGAAGTAGCACGATGAGAACGAGAAAAAAAGAACGACAACGATTCAACAGTGAACGAAATAAATTTTTTCGCGCATTAATTACACGTTTTTATCTTTATCACTTGTGAATGAAGTCATATTCATCAGAAAGAATAAAAGACCTTTATTCCATCTACAATAACGAAGCTAGGAAAAGCGTGGCGATACAAATCAGTTCCAACGCAACATCTCGTTGAACGTTTATCGATTCGCATATTTTCACGCGCGCAGTTGCCACCATCGGCTCTGCTTCAGTTCTGATGTCTCCTGTTAATCCGCTTCAGAAAACGAAGCTCGACACTTCAATTTATAGATTTTCTTCTTAAAATATTTCTTTTCTTTTTTCATCTACGTTCTATATTTTTGTTTAGCTATTCGCGATTGATCGTTGTTTTGCGCAGCTTCGGCTTAGAAGACTATTTTCGACCGAGGTTCGAAGTTCGATGAACGCGTGAACACTTGTGCGTTTTCCTCGTTACGTATGTAATCTACCTATACATTATTTCCATAATCTACATGCCCTATACACCGTAATCTCGTCCCAGAATCGTTTAGTTAACCACCGATTCCCTAATCCGTGTGAGTGCATAAGTCGAGCACAGCATCCCCGTGAATAATCTGCGCGAACAGCGCCCTGGCTCTAGCCCTGGGTGACAATGCATCTTTGTTGTGATGCAATACTCTTTCCAAACTAGGCGAACAAATATCTGGACTGTCGCCGATGTTCTTCTCCAGATGCAACGTCGAGATCGGTGGCAAGGTGTTCCTCATATCGCTCTCCGATTTCGCGAACTTCTTAATGGGTTCCGTATACGTGATCGGATCTTCCTCACCCACGCCCACGATGAAACCACGCCGGAGGTTTTCTGATTTCGTTTCTCTGATGACAGAAGCGACCCGTCTCTTTATGTCCGCTCTAACAATAGCAGCTTCCGTGGCCTCTCTCCGGTTTGCGTTCGGGTTCTTCGTCATATTGTCCAGCATCTCCAGCAGCCGATCGAAAGATGTACTGATCTCATCCCAAGCCTGCTGGCTAAGCATTAGGAATCCGCTCGTCTCCCGTTCCTTCTCCTTCAAAGCGTTTTCCAGCTCCGCTAGATTGCTTTTCATCGCGTCCAACTGCTCTTCAGCAGCCTCGCGTCGCTCTCGTTCCTCGGCCAGCAATAATCCACTGTGTCTAGTCTCCTCCAGCAGACGTTCGTGTTCCGCTTTGGCCTCCGCCAATTGTATCTGAATTTTTTGAATCCTGACCGAGTCCAGAGCGTCCAAACCACTCGACACTTGGGTAGCCACGTCGACTTTTATTACCTCGGACTTCCTTGAGGAGGAGCCATCAGTGTCAGGCTGAACACTGTCTTCGTAAGTCTGAACGTTGCCGACGTTCGAGCCAATTTCGCCCATCACAGGTTGAATGTGAGACTGGAGGTCCAAGTGAAGAGAGATCTTTGATTTAGGATGGCCATTCTGAACGATTTGCTGCTGTTCCTGAGCTTGGTGGTGTCCATCCACGTTCTTATATATTGAAACGTAAGGCCTCACTTTCGTCTTCTTGATATTATTCATCGTATTAGGTATTCTTCTTGGTACAGGTTGATAAGGTCTTTTAGTATACTCCGTTATAGCGCTGCGTGGTCTGATTGGAGGCTTCTTGTTATTCTCATTATCGTTTCTTTTCGCATTGCCTGCTGAAACCACTCTCCGATCATGGTGAGGTACATTCAGCCACCTGTACTCAGCCTTCGTGTCGACATTGTTCTCCTCCAGTCTTTTAATCACTTCTTTCATTAACACTTCGTTCAAGTTCGGATTCTGTCTAACGTCCAGGATGCTCAGAGTGGTATTATGATCCAACAGTTCCAGTAAATCTTTACCGATCTTATCAGATAATCCACAGCGTTGCATGTCGAGAGCTTTCAACCAAAGACTGTCCCTCACCGCTTCGATCAGTTCTATCGCCGCCGCGTCGCCTAGCTGAGGATTGTCGTTCAACGTCAAACGACGTAGTCCCGGCATCGCCTCGAGATTCGGTTCTTGGTATCTCAACGACTGCTTCCAGGTGTCATGGTAGAGCAGCAACTTCTGCCTGGACAAAGCGGCCGCCAAAGCGGGGCCACACTTGCCCGTCAGATCGCAATAACTGAGATTCAACGATCTGATGCTCGGCACGTCGGCCACAGTGCGGCACAATAATTCACAGGAGCTGTCTCCGATGTAACAACGCTGAAGGGACAAATAGTGGAGCGTGTGCGTGTGAGACAAGCCCACGCACAGGACCGCTAGACAGTCTGGCGGGAATGGGATACCTTCCAGCTCCAGATTGGTCAGAACAGGCGAGTTTCGAACGCACTGAGCGACGCTGTGCGACAACCATTCGAGAAGGTATCGAGACAGCACGACGGGCGCTTTACCCATCGTCCTGGCCTTGTCCTCGGAATTGATTTCCTCCAATGGTTTCCGGCACTGATATCTGCTACGAACGCTGATCGACCGTAGACTGCGATCGAGCGACAGAGAATTTAATATTGGACCCCAATCATCCATTTTCACGCGGTCGGTGGTGAAATCTAAACTGTGCGGCAACGTCACGCAGATGACTGGTAGCGGACGTAAACGCTGTTGCTTGCATAGTTCCATGTAGCAACTAGCGAAGTTTCTGCTGGTCGGAATCGCCATGTTGGCTGACGATACGGGCAGAGGTGCATTAACCTTGCCCGGATCGGTCGAGGTCTTCGTTGTGGGTGACAGGGTGGCGGCTATCAGTTTCCTTCAAAGATGTTGTATCCTGCGCAGGAAAGATGCACCCTGAACGACTTATTTGGCATTCGATTTTGAATTTTCTCGTTACTTATCTACCGTTCCTTAATATGATCTCCAGAATTGCAATTTATCTAATTTGATTTCGTTGATTATTTATAAGAACAGAGAAAATGCACAGTAAATTTTGTGCTTCGACGGTATTAGAATTAATTAAATATGATAGATCGTATTGTAAGTACGAAGTGAACGATAATTATTATTACTATTTCATTACTCTTTAAGGCGAAGATGCTAATAGTCACGCACCTTCGTTTTTGCTGCCTTGTTCGTGCATTAACCGCAATTTTACCACACAACGTCATCTGCGATCTCTCAGCTTTCCCGACAGGCTCGACGTGAAATCGATATCGGCGCTTTCGACAAGGGATCCGTACGTAGAAGAAATCGTTCGTACTCCTCGTACACGCGCACGACGATCTATATTCGCCCACCTACCTACCCGAAATCGGTGAAACGAAATTTCTACGCGGCATAGGCTGAAAGTATGCGAACAAAACTCGTATGTGAACGAATTAAAGTTGACCCGAATCGTTCGCACGATCGATTCATTTTATCGAATCTCGTGATTCTAATTTACGTAGTCGACGAATTCGAAATATTTAAGTCAATTTTCATTTTCCACAAATACAGACGAGAACAGCATAACTACAATTACTTCGGAGAAAAAATAAGGATTTTTTTTTACAAAATGAGGGAATGAACGTTTGATTATAATTCTGCTAAATATCTTTTTTCAGGCCACCTGTGTCTTTGGCTATGGCGAGATACACAACACCATTACCTTTGCCCACTGTCGCGCCGACGACAAACTCAACAAATCCTGCAACACCACCTCGACAGGATAATGACGATGGTATACAATTTTCATATCTTCTTCTTAAGTGGATGACTGCAATAATTCGCGCTCGATTTGAAATAAAATACGAATGTTTGCACAATAAGATACAAATCGACTACATATTTTCTACGATTTTTTTACAAGTTGGTAGATTTATTTTTCGTGGAAACTGGAAGACTGCCTAGATTGAAATTGAACATCCTGATGAAATGGACCAAACCACTTTTTAATTACTTCGAAAGTAGGAAGATAGTCCAAATGCAGATACAGAATGTTTTTCATAATGATTCCAAAGTTCAGTCCATTTCGAGATTCGTATAAGATAACGAAAATGAATCTTTTGTTCTCCATATTGAAAAATTTGTTTTATGCACACTGACAATTACACTTTGGACAATTGAAGTAATAACAAATTAAACGTTAATGACTACAGTGAATTCATTTTAACTTAATTTATAATAGTTAGGCACTATTGTTCCTCGCAAGTGTCCTTAGCGATATTTGAGACTTATAATATGAGACTTTACGATTAGTATGTAATGACGCTAGAACAAACATCACTATATAAAAATGAAGTACGATGAAGTCGGATCGGTAATGACGCCGGTTCTAAAAGTTGGACATAAACTTTGCAATAATCCAATACTAATTTCCCTAAATTATTCATAATAATCTGTAACAGGAAATGGATCTGAGGACAGTATAGACGTGACGAATGAGGAACCATTAACACCCCAAAGAAGCGGTTGCACACAAATTCCACCTGTGATTCCCTCGCTGTACTCACCTGCTAGTGCTGAAACTGTGTACGAAACCAGTGCCAGATTGCTGTTCATGGCTGTAAAGTGGGCGAAGAATCTTCCGTCTTTCGCGAGTTTACCTTTCAGAGATCAGGTATGCATGATAAATAAGATACGAATTTTCTTGATCTTTGATGATAAAATCTATTAAAATGCAGAAATTGATTTTGCAAGATTTCGGAGCATGTATTCAAAATAATTTCCTTAAGCTACATCTACACTATGTAACGAAACATTTTTATATAACTAACTTGTTTTAAATCTTGTTATGTAATATATTTCTATGAATTGTTACAATAATTTATTCAGTTGGATCTATACTGTACAACAAAACGTATGTATATAACATATGTATTTCGTTATACGTATAGTGTAGACATAGCTTTAAGATGTACTAATGCTCTTAGCAGTACGACAATAAACCTTCTGTTTTAAAAAGAATTTTATTTCGAGAGAAAGACTTTGAAGTTCTTCTCGTTTGTTTAAATACGACAATTTGATAACGTGACGGTAGGTGATACTTCTCGAAGAGGCCTGGTCGGAACTTTTCCTTCTGAACGCAGTACAGTGGTGCCTTCCACTCGAATCGTCGCCCCTTTTCAATTCCGCGGAACTAACTGCTCTGACTTTGTCGCCGCATCCGCACCCTCACCCTGGGATCCATATGCAAACCACCACCGGCAAGCCAAGTCAGGTGGCAGCAGATGTGAGGCATTTGCACGATACCTTACAAAGATACAAAGCTGTCATGGTTGATCCGGCTGAATTCGCCTGCATGAAAGCCATCGTATTGTTTCGTCCAGGTTCGTGTTCAAATTCCAATCGCAAAGAATTACTCGGCATTAGATTTTTCCATACAAATATTAAAAATTCGTACGTGGAGACAATTTGCTAAGCGTTCACAATCGCGGTTATGATAGTAAAATTCAAAATGTTTCTCACGTCGGATCAAATTTTCTCGTGTTATAGAAACTCGTGGCTTGAAAGATTCCAGTCAAATAGAAAATCTTCAGGATCAAGCACAAGTAATGTTAGGCCAGCACGCTAGAGCACAGCAACCAGCGAGTCCTGCACGATTCGGCAGACTGTTGCTGTTGCTGCCGTTGCTGAGGACAGTGCCAGCGTCAAGGGTGGAATTAATATACTTTCATAGAACGATCGGCAACACACCAATGGAAAAAGTCTTGTGTGACATGTATAAAAATTAATAAGAATCCTGATCAGTTCTTAAAATTGGAACGAATCAATCTACCGAAGCTCTTTAAAAATGGATTTTTCTATAGTGTCACATTAAGGATACAAATACGGGAAATTCCATTGGCATCAAGGGTATTCGAAATAAATCTCTAAGATATTTGATTGATTCTGTGATACGTTCCACTTTCTTTTGAATTAAGTATAAACTTGTATTAGAATGAGCAGTGAATATGTTTGAAAACGAGGGAATTAGCGAAGTGAACGTATGCAAATTTAATCAAAGTTTCTTTGTAATACTGTCTCGTAAAATACAATGTAGACAACAAAAGATTTTCTTTTGTGAAAGGATCTCTGTAACATTGCACTGATTTAAGAGCAGCGTAGGTGTTAAAAATTCGACGTCTACGCGGAAGAAAATCAGAGAGTATTAATAAGCAATTGAACTGACCAAATAGTCGGTAGTACTTGATACGAGTCAGTTATTTAAGACGTCTGTACGAATGGTTTGGCCTAAGGACGAAGCCCCAAACATGACCCTTTAATTACAATCTTCGACCTGTGCTAGTGATCTCTTTTCACCACTACACGGGTATCGAGTAACGACAGATCCTTGAAGAAAGGTAACGAAACAAGGCGTCCAGTCTTTTAAATGGTTCAACGGTATCTAAGTGAAACGATGGATACTCAGTTCCGATATAAAGATATAAATATATATATATATATACACTATTTATTATAGAAACGTTTATCGAACATTAGGTTCGACATGTTGACCAAGTCGTTTTAACTTTCAATTCTTAAGTAGACAATTTTATACGGAGCACTAAATTTTATAGATTTGGAGTTAATAGCAAGAGAACTTTTATTTGATTCGATCACTGTTTTCCTGTTAAGTTCTATTATTTATATTCTGAAAATGTATGAAAGATAAAACGTTTTGAAGATAGAGATAAATAAGGTGAACTTTCGGACAGCTGTAAAAAGATACACATGTGCTTCTCTTGTATATTTCGTGTTGTGATACTATTTGCTGTAAAAGTCTAGATACTGAATCACGTGACGTATATTGTAACAATAACGTAATCACTTGTAATAAAAGTACATAAGACTAAAAATTATAGAGCGGCAGATTAATAACCCTACTCTCGAATGAAAATTAAGTCTGCCTTTCCATGCCACTAATCTCGTTGGTGGAGTGATTCTGCTCCTCTGATGAAAGTCAAAGATCCCGAACCAGAAACTACTTTAATTTCTGTTTATTTAATGGAGGGTAACACCGAGCGACTCCCAGCAAAGCGAAATTTGACGCTAACCCCGGGTCACGGTGGTTGTTGCATGAACGTACATATTTATTTATCACCGTATAATCCCTGATTTTCCTTGGGGGGTTTTGCCACATGGCAGTTTGACGGTCCCCAACGGAATTACCCCTCGGTCGCTTATAAATTACACCGAAGCTCGAGCAAGGTTTAAGAGCCTGCTTAAGTTGTCAAAGCAATCGGGGAGTTAAACGCCCCGGCGTGGAGGCGAGACCTACCCTTAATATTTTTTCCGATCGGAAGCGTTCCTTCATCTCAAAATCACTGCACGATATTTATTCGGTTATACGCATCCTTTGTATAATTTAAGTATGCGCGAAGATTTACAACAAATGAGACGAATTTTGTATAATCTAGGTAATTCCTTTTTTAACTGAATTCTGTGATGTTTAATAAAAATGGTTAATCCAAAAAATGTTTTCCTAGAAAGTTACATGGAATTTTTATTTTTTTTTGTATTTGTACATCATTTATAAATAACAAAAATGAATTAAGAATTAATTCATAGCACTGAAAATGACCGCGTTGCATTCGAAGATTGAACAGCGAAACCAATGCATAATACTTTTTATCGGGATCGTTCAGAAATTCAATTTTGCTCGGTTTGTGCTCAAATCGATTTCTAAAGCACGCGTTTGCTTCGTGACGTTGGGAACTTCCGAGTCGAGCTACGACACATAACGAATTTCGATATCCCGTGGCTCGGTCACAAAGAGAGAAAGGGGTTGGAAAGGCGACGCGAGTTACCGAGAGGGCATTCGGAAGAGAAAGGATGGCTGGTCATAGTATCGACTCGCTTTTGCGGATGCAGGGGCGGAGTTTTCGACCTCTCCCCCTTCATCCACCTGCCGGTCCCCATCTACGTGTATCACTCTTCGCCCCGTTATCTTTTTCCTTCTTCGATTTGCTTCGTCCTCTATATATATATACTCTCACCTCACCCTCTCCTCTGCCCTTCGTCATTTCGTAACATCCTCCCTTGCTTCTATCTTTCTCCATCATATGAAAAATTCTGCCTTCCATCTTCTTCTTTAGTTCTATCTTAAAACCTTATCCTCTTTATTTCCTTTGATCTCGATTTTGTATTTCTCTTTATCTTTTCTCTTTTTCTACGATAAACGTACTTCGTTCTCGCTTCCACTTCTGCACGGAACAGCGGTTTCTCCATTTCTCTGTCTGCCTCTCCGACTCCCACCGCACGTGAACACTGGCAGTCGGGGTCGAAAGGGGATGACTCGTCGCACAGGGCTGTCAAGCCCCCACCCACGCAACGACAAAACTTCCGTTGAAGGGTGATCCAGCAATGGCGGCGGGACTTGTTGTATTTCGCTTTCGAGGTGAGCTCCATTTCCTTCTACCCTGCAGATTGCCGCTCCAACCTCTCTGCACCCACGGCCGAGCTAGAGGGCAGACTGAGAGAGGGCTGGCTGAAATGAAACTGAGCGGCCCGGAGTGAGGAACCAGCGGGACTCGCACGAAGTCGAACGAAACGAGACAGAGGGGTTGGAAATGGCGGTTAGACGACGGAGATAGACTGAAGAGGGGTGGCGCGGATAAAAAAAGATCGACCCGCAGCGGAACAGAGAGGAAGGATGAGTCTATATCGCTCGGAAACAGCAACCTCCATTTATTTTATTACATTATCATACCAACTAGGCGCTCGATAAGTGGGGCTTTAAAGCAATGGTTCTCAAATCGCTTTGCATCGTGAACTCCGCTGGCCTAGCGGATCTCGTAAGACGATGGTTCTTCGTCTGAAGAAAGAAGTTGGATCAAAAGTTAATGGATATTCGCGAGAAAAATTGATTACTCGATTTGCATGGAGGATTCTGTACTTTTTACCGAAAACTTTTTTATTACATTATAACACAAAATACAAGCTTAATTAACAAAGTATTAAATAAATTTAATCTCAGAGTTTCAAAGACTTTTATTGAAAAGATATTTTGTAAATAGTAACGTATCAGTGAAGAAAAAAGGGAAAACAATGTAAAAATGATGTACACGTAATTCGAAGGGTGCGTTCAGTCGGATTGTCAGGGAAAAAAGGATTCGGCATATTTGTTTGCTTGAAGCTCGTGCATCCATGAGTAAACCATATCGAATTGTTCAGCCGTTAAGTTGGATTAAAAGCAAAGGCAGCGACGTACATTTGTATGTATGTACGTGTCTCTCTTTCAGGGAGCATTGTCATTTAATGACTATCGATTATCAACGCCGATTTAAACTGAACGCGAGGCATAATTGTCCTGCGTTGTTTCGCAATTTTATCAAATTCATATGTATACGAGTTAGTGAACACGTAAACAATTTAATCGAAAATAAGTAAATCCGTTTGCCAATTCCCTTTCCCTGACAAATGTTCAGCAAATAATTGTAATTCGTTATGAAAAGCATATCCGAGAATCGTGATCATAATTTATTTGTCTATTGTACTGAAAATTCTCACTTATATATTCTATAAAATGCATTTATTAATAATGATACAAAATGTGTTTATAATGTACTGTTCTATGTACTATGTACTACGTGCTATGTACTTATGTATATTTTATGCCAGACACAATCAATTACACTTTGCAGAAGAATGTCAGAACAAAATCCTGTGAATCCTGTTCCCCAATATGTATGTATGTATGTATGTATGTATGTATGTACATACTCCTGAATTCACCTCGCTGGTTGACGTTTAAGAAATTTGTTTTTCTTCTCACGTATATCGGAGGATTACCGAAGTATTCGGCTTCCACCGGGACGACCACTTCATTCCAGATATCCAGAGACAACAGGCGTCCGTCCCTTTAGTCTACCAGTTTCTCCCTTTTTTAACTTTGGCCTTTTTATCCGTCATGCGATATAAAATTATGTATAATTACAGTCGACATGTTCCCGATTTGTAAAAATATTTTAAAACATTAAAATATTTGTATACAAGTACATATTGTATTTTCTACCTAATGGCAAATAACTATTGTTGTTATTTGTAGTTCTGATAGTTTTCCTTTTGTAATTGAAGACGCTGAAAAAGAATTATTCTCATAGCTTGATAATTTCAGAGATGTTTTAAATAAGTAAGTATATAAAATAGGAAATGGTTTATTAATTTAGTTAGCAGTGATTAAATAATTTTGTGCAATGTTTGATTAATCAAAGACGACGGTTGAGACAAGAAATATATTTCTAACTGGATGCTCCTGGGAAATGAAGCTGCATCGGTCAGAGAATGCTGTCGGACCACCTTCACCCCTTGTCCTCCCTTATTCCTCTCTCTCGCCTTCCCTCTCCCATAAAATCAATAGGTGCGTCGGCGTCCAGCATACTAGGAATTCTGCCATATAACCTCGAACGATTGACTAAAATCGACCAAACACGGCGCGTGTCAAGTATAATCAAATCAATTGGAGAGTTTTAGACGAATTAAAAGAGATATAAATACTCCTCACAGTAATACAAAATGTACTACTTTTTATATACAGAAATTTTCATTATTGTTAATATTTTTACATAATAATGCAGCTTAATGATGCAAAGTTTAAAATTTCTATTACCTCGATGTCAACTAAAGGACTACTGTCACCATATTTTCGAGCTAACAATTATGGTCATAGTCAAAATTATTGCTCAGGCCTACTTTGTTCTTTTGCCTGAATTACGAATGTTTTACCCCATTATAAATAATGAGATGCTGTTTTATGAATTTGCTGCAGAAACATATAATTTACTATTTGAAAGAAAAAATTACATTATGCTATAACGTGTTGCCTTTTGCAATTCCAAGTTATACATATAATTTTGCTACATAACGTGTTATCACTTCGATTTGAAAGAGTTCATTTTAGGGTTAAACATTATTTGAAGAAGATTGTAATTAGTAGTGGAAAAGATGATTTGACAATTACTGCCACTCTCAGACTAATATATTTGCTTGGCGCGTGTCTACAGTTTATCAACCGTGAAGCTTGAACGACGTTCTACGAGCAGCGAATAGTCCTTTGTCTCTTTTGCGAATTAATTTCAAGGACGAGGACCTTTGTGCCCCGCAAGGGTTCTTACTTCGCGTCGGGTGAACCCAATTTGTGCTTAAACAAGGAGCATCTTCGCATAACTTAGCGTTGCGTGAAATCCAACGTCAAAGGCAGGGAACTTTTCTTTTTAAGTCAACTCGACCTCATAGGATTTAGACGGTGAACTTCAAAGACGTGGTAGAT